GCACAACATTGTGAATGCAATTAATGCCAATGAATTATATGCTTAAAAATGGCTAATATGGAAAATTACAGTTATGCATATAATTTAAAATAAAACATTTTAAAGATTAAAAAATTTACTTAAATAAAAATTAAGTTACTTTTACATATCTATTAATTAGTTTTTAATAAGAATGACAATCCCATTGCATATTAACATACTAAGTATATTTTATGAAAAGTAACTATTTTCTAAAAATAAAAATAGAAGAATGGTATTGTTTAGTAGTTTTATAAACATCATCTATGTCTGAACTACTTCAATAAACTGAATTCCCAGTTTCTTAAATCTGCAATACTCATCTTGTGTCCCTGCTGCAAAATCCATCGTGCACTCCTTAGAATTTACCAGATCTCCAAGAAGTTCTCAAGGGAGTGCTATATCAGGAAAATTAAATACAGACACACAGACATAAGAGTTCAAAAACTAAGAGAGTGACCAACTTAATCGTAGGGAGAAGTCTGGAGTTGAATATTATATCTCAGAATTTAATAGAGAAAAATTGAACTACAACAGGAGATAAAGTACATGAGAATGAATTGGTGAAGTATAATTTTATGACTTTTGACTAAAATATTGCTGATTTTCTTGTAGACTTTGTTATTTGGTTGTAAGGATTTGTGTCCTGTCTTGAGATATGGATAGGTTCATGCACCTATCATTTGATGGGAATCCTAACCTGTTTCCTGGCTTTAAGCAAAGTTCCTTAGCATTTCTTTAAGTTAAATCTGGTTTTCTTAATAGTATCAAGTGAACTTGCTATTGAAAGTAGTTAGATTATTTAAGAAATTGTGTTATCGATACAATGTGGGTGGGAAAGGAATAGAAGACAATTGTAGACTCCAGAGATAGTGTGAGAAGAGGATGGGAAAGGACAGAGGATCAGAAATAGGGGTTTAAAAAAAAATTTCTAGAAACTAGACATGGAAAATTTGTAATAATAATATGCATGATTAAGCCACTATGCAGTATATTCTGGATGGGAAATCACATTTTGTATGCTGTGACGATGCTTAGGGAAAGGATGTAAATTAAGTTGAAAAAAAGTTTCAGGAAAAAAAATACCTATTCGATGACTGCAGTATAATATATAGCCTCAGCTAGGTGCTACTTTATAGGATGTTCATTCTACTCATTGAGGCTTATGCCTAAAGTTGGACTTGTGTTCATGGAAATGTATATATCAGCTGTGCTTGCTGGGAAAACATTTAGATTAATTAAGATCTTTAGTGACTCAATAAAGTGTGGGGGAAAACAGTAGAGAAAGCAAACATAGATACCAGAGACAGTATGGGAGGAGAGTGGGAGATGGCAGAGGGTAAGAAATAGGGAATCAAGGACAAGGAAAAAAAAAGCAAAACATATAGAAAACAAGAAATGGAAAATTGTTGACAATAACATGTATGCTGATGTGCTTGATTGAGCCAATATATAGTGTACTCTGGATGGAAAATCATTTTGTATGTTGTCATGATGTACAATGAATGAATGTAAATAAATAAATTTAAATTAAAAAAAAGAAATAGGAGTGGGAAAACAATAACATCTTTGTATTACTAAGAAAACAGCTCTGACTTTGTGGACCCCTGAAATGTTTCAGCAATTGCCTAGTAGACTAGTGGACCCCCCTTGGAGAGTCACTGGGAAATACGAGGTGTTCTCAGTGAACATCAAATGAAGAAATGAAAAGAAGCAGAAACTCTACTCCACAGGAACACACAGTACAAAAAGAAGCCAAGGAACCCAAACGATGTTGATATATATATATAGAGAGAGAGATATATAGATACAGATAGATAGATAGATAGATAGACAGACAGAGATAGAGATAGAGGGGTTTTTTTTGGTTGTTTGTTTGTTTTGTCTTTTTTTGGAGAGGTTTTTTCGCTATAGGGTGCGTGCGCTCGCCAGACAGACAGAGACATAGAGACAGAAAGCGAGAAATCAGCCCCCAGGGGGGATGGTCACGCTGCAATCCCTTCTCCTCCATTCTCCTCTGGGATCTTGGGCACGCACGCACACACACCCGGCGTGAGTTTTAAGCCACCGGGTCCGGGACGCAAACCACGGTCGACTACGTGGGAGTCCAGCGACATAGCCATTACGCTAACTGCTAGTTCCCCCCAGAGACAGAGACATATTTTAAGGTTCTTGCTATAGGGCACATGCATTCACGAGAGAGAGAGAAGGAAAGTATGAAATCATCCCCTGGGAGGATTGCCACACCGCAGTCTTTTCTCCTTCAGTCTCCTCCTGGGATTTTGGGCACACATGCACACATGCCTGGCATAATTTTCAAGCCCTTGGGTCCTGGACTGCAACTGTGCAGCCAGCCATGTGGGATCCAGCTGCCTTAACCTTCACACTATCTGCTGTTCCCAGGATATGGTAAATTTTTAATCAAGGAATGACCCAGCATCATGGGGCCAGTCTGTGCGTATGCCATAGACTCTGCCACCTGGGGGCACCCACAACATTCTGTCCACCTGAGATGTCCTCTCTTCACACTTTTTCTAGCTAAACATAATCATCCTTGAAGTCTCAACTGAATTATCATCCTCTCACTTCCCAAACAAAATGGGCTTTCTACCTACCCTCCCTCATAGCTCCCCACCTTCTTCATAATACTAAACCACTTTGTGCAATTAAGAATTTGTCTCCCAGCCCCCTGCACACAAGCTTAGTACTTAGCAAAGGGGCAATAAGTATATGCAGTAAATGAACGGATAAATGAGTGGAGGGAAACACGACAGAAGGGCTCAAATAAGCACAACAGGAACAACTATCAGATGCCACCTGAAATTGTGCTGGGGAAAGAGATGCCATATACTGTTACTCAGAAGAACAAGCTGAGGTCCTGAGGAGGGACAGGTAGCACGGCCTGAGATAGGCCCAGAGGATAAAGGAGGGCTGGCCTCGTGGTCCGCAGAGGAGCTGGGCAGGGCCAGGACCCAGGTGAGGCACTGGAAGCACTGAGGACCCCTCGGTACAGGGGATTGTTCTCCTCTCAGGCTCCTGCAACGGCAGGGGCAGTCCCTGAGCATAAGGTGCTGGACTTACTCTAGGCCTGGGTGGTTGCAAGTCCTTCCCAGAGACCACCCTCGACACTGCTACGTGATAAAGGCAAATGTTCACCAGGATATTCCAGCATTGGCCTCCCAGGAGGAAGGGCATGTGCAAAGCAGATGAGGCCACGTGAGCAGGTTCTGAATGTGGGGCCAGGGAGAAAGCATGGCTCCCTGGGCCTTGGTTTTCTCATCTGTAAAATGGACCAGATATTTCTTTTTTTGTGGGGGCGGGGGGCAGGGAGTTTTTGCTATACGGCGCGTGCGCTCACCAGAAAGACAGAGAAAGACAGAGAGACAGAAAGCGAGATATCACCCCCCAGGAGGGATGGCCACACCACAATCCCTTCTCCCTCATTCTCCTCTCCGGATCTTGGGCACGCATGCACACCTGCCCAGCGTGAGTTTAAGCCACTGGGTCCGGGACTCGAACCGCAGTAGACTACATGGGAGTCCAGCGGCATAGCCATTACACCAACTGCTAGTCCCCCTAGACCAGATACTTCTATCTCATCTGGCAGGAGCAGGTGAAAAGCCCCTAAAAAATTGTCCTGTTGTTAAACGTTTTTCTTAGAGGTTTTTGCTATAGGGCGCATGCACTCGCCAGAAAGAGAAAGACAGAAAGCGAGAAATCACCCCCAGGGGGGATGGCCACCCCACAATCCCTTCTCCATTCTCTTCTCGGGATCTTCGGCATGCACGCACACGCACCTGGCGTGAGTTTAAGCCACCGGGTCTGGGACTCCTACCACAGTCGACTACATGGGAGTCCAGTGACATAGCCATTACGCTAACTGCTGGTCCCCTGATGTTAAACTCTTTAAAGTTCATGGCATTGATAAAGTATTTCTAGTGAAAACCTAAGAAAATGCAGGATAGAACAGGAACAAAATTCCCTTAAGAGACCTGAACCTCTACTGCAAGTGCGCCACCTGTCCTGTATGTGCAGGTGGAAAACTCAGGAGGATGGGCCAGCCATGTCCTGGGGAAGCCTGTGCAGATTCCCAGTGTCCATGGGCAAAACTCCTGGCCAGGCATCCCTGGGAATGGAAGCCTGGGTTTGCTGCCAAGAGCAACCAGGTAAGAGAGGGGAGAGTGTAACAGGAGGGAAAGTGGTAGGATGGATTCCTGGCACAAACCACCCTATATGTCTGACAGGAACAATAGGAAAGAGCCCCAGTTAGGGGAGAGCCAGGGGAAAGGGTCAGGGAGCATCAGAGGTGCAGTGGGCGTGGTAAGCTGGCAGTGGGGACCAGGAGAGACAGACAGAGGAGCTGACTAAGAGGGAAAGGTGTGCTAGGACTGAAGCCCAGTTTTACTGGAGGAAGAGGGGACATCCGGGTGACACCCAGGGCTCTCAGCTATTCCAAGTATGGGGCCACAGAAGAGGGCCAGGGTGAGGCGGGGAGTGGCTAAGTTCATCAGACAGCGTGCAGTAACATCAGTCAATCCCCCCAACTCCTCTTTTAACAGTCACTGCCCTCTGGTCTAGTGCCTGCCCATGCCAAAAGTTCTGCAGCCATGAAACTGGTCTAACTCACATCACCCTCTGGGGTAGACGCTGCAGTGAACCCGCTTTACAGGTCGGGAAACAGAGAAACAAGAAGTGAAGTGACTTGCCCTCGGTCACGGAGCTGTAAGGATGCAGAGTGGGAGGAGAAGCAGGCAGGTGGTAGAGGCCAAGCCGTGGCCGTCACTCCCGCTGTCACCACTCTCCTACAAGTTTTCCGCCGGCCTCCAGCGGGATGCCCCGAAGGAACACCACGAGGCATCCTATTTAGTCCCTGCCCCTCCTTCCAAATGTTTTGTCCAACACTAAGTAACCTCCTGAGGTTGGTGTAGACTGAAGCCCAGCCGCCCAGGTCAGACTTGAAATTGCGGGGCGGTCCTTCTTACCTGCCGGGTTCTCTTGGGCCGTGTTCTGCTCAGTCTGGGAGGGGTGTCCAGGCCTGGCGGGTCCCCGGCAGCCGAGAGGGGATCTGAAGAAGGTTGCGCATGGAGGGGACACTGCAGCGGACCCCGGCTCGCGGAGGACCAGCATCGGCACCCGAGCGCCAGGGCTGAGGCCAGGAGACCCCAGAACAGCACCCACGTAGCGCGCCCCCAGGCGCCTGGGGGGCTCATCGTCTGTCTGAGACGGTCCACCCTAAAGGGGCGGGTGTGACGGAGTCACTGGAGCTTCCGGACCCCAGGCCCGCCCAGCAGCCGAGCATGCTCAGTGCGAGTCACTGCGGAAAGTTTTTCTGAAACACCCGCATCTGGCGCTTGGCGAGCAAGGAGGCGCCTGGCTGGCCCAGAGGCGCCCGACACCGCGGGAGGGAGGGAGGGAGAGAGGGAGTGAGGCTGGCCCCGCGGCCACGCTTTGGTTTGCCCACACCGTACCCGCGGCCTGGGCGCCACCCAAATCAGATCAGGTCACTGTCCTGCTCTCAGAGATTCCCAGGGTCATGGACCCCTGCACTAAGACCTGCCGGGTTCTCAACTCAGACTCACTTCGTCCAGGAAGTCTTCCCTGGCATACAAAGCAGGCAGAATTGGACGCATTTGGAGAGGCAGGCCCCTGTGCCCGGAGAGCCCAGAGGAGACAGGACAGAACACAGATGGGCAGGGAAGAGGACTGGAAGCTCAGGAGAGAGGAAAAGGCCACCCTGGTTCTCTGTTGGATTTGGTTCAGTCTAGTCGATACCTACTGCCTGAGCCCTTGCTGCGGATTAGCCGCGGGACCAGCTCCGTGTGGGAAGACGGTGTCTAGAGCCAGGCAGCTGTTCGGGGCAAGGTTTGCTTTGCCATGAAGGCAGGAGAAGGAGGAGATGGGGAAACAAGTAGGGACCAGTCTCGCAGTTTCTCAGCTTCCTCATCCCTTCCTGGAGCCTAATGACTGCTCACACCTGCTCACAGGGGACAGGGCTCCCATCCCCCGACAGCCTTCCTGCTGGGCAGCTTGTCAGGTCTGCAGCCTCAGGCCAGGAAGCCTGGCACCTGGCAGCCTCCTTCTATCCCACCCCTCCAGGGGCCTGGCATGGATAGGTGATGGGATTTGGGGGTTTGAGAATTTATCAGTCAAGCTCCACACACCTGGTTACTGTCCTTGGGGTGAGACAAGGCCGAAGACTAATCAATGTTATTTGATGGTGAATAAGTTAAAGGGTAATTTTAATATCCAAACTCCTTTATCACAAAGCAAAATGCAAAGAACATCATATATTTCAAGTTAAAGCCTGAGCATCCAAAAACTGCCAGTGTAAAGCAAAAACTTTAGGTTATTGTCCCATAGTCATTCCCAGGAGCCTGGAGATGCTTCTAAGGAAACATTTAAGAGGATTTCCACGGCAGAGAGTGTGGGCCTGAGGCTGGACAGACACAGGTGTGACTATATTCTGTCCCCACGTCTTAGACGCAAGACTTGACATTTGAATGTACCATCTTTAATCTCTGGCTGTCTTTTTATCCATTTATAATAAGGATGAAGAATCTGGGTAATATTAATAATTCCCATCTAACCCGTAGAAGGGCTGATGTGGACATGATGAGACAAATGAAACTTGAGCTGGGCATCAGGATGAAAGGAACAAAGACCCTTCTCCTTGAACAGATCCCCGTGGTACTGCTCTCATAGAGAACTGGGCTCCAAAGGCTAGACGCGGCCATGTGTGCTGCATCTGTGTTTTTGGCCGCACCCCCAGCACCCAGGAGCCTCTAGTAGCTAGCTGCTTGGTAAGTGTTTGCTTGAAGAAAGAGCAGGCCATGGTCTCGTACAAGCCACGGAGCCTCAGTGCCTAGGCCTTTTCTAGTCCATCTTGGCCTGGCCCCTGCCCAGTGGGTTCTAAGCAAATGCTGAGTGAATGGAGAGTGACCCCGTCTCCATCCCGGTGGGGGCTGAGTAGAGCAATCTCTCTGCACATCGACAGAGAAAACCACTGACCATCCCTAGGAGAAAATGAAATTAAAACAAGAGTCTCCTGGTGAAAAAGTTGGGAGGCAGTGGGAAGGCATTTGGTCACTTAACAGCTCTGTCCATGGCTTTCCTCTTCAGGAGGACGAGTGGATAGTAGCACCCGTCACAGAGGGTTGTTGAAAAGGTGAATGAGGTCAGTAGGCTAAAAGTTTCGCACATCTTAAGAGCTCAATAAACACTAGCAACGCATTTCTCTTTCTTCAGTGGTCGGAGTGGGGGGTCCTTTCTCTGGTTGTCCGGGATGCCTGGTGTAAGAGAAGACTCCTAAGGGTCCTCCTAGCTGGGAGAAGTACCGCCTCTCGCCGAGCATGCTCAGTGCACGCGCGGGATGGGGGCCCCGGAGTGGCTCCAAGTTTTGGGCAGACAATCCAGGCTCCTCCCTCAGGCTCCGCAGAGCTGGGAAGGCGGAGAGGAACCGGAGGAAGGAGTCAGCCCAGGCCGAAAAGCCAGCAGGGCGTGTTGCGCCCCTGGTCCCCCGGGCTGGAAGTCCGACCTGGCGGGTTCGGTGCATGAGAACGTGGGCAGTGAGCCGCGGCGGACGGGATGCGGCCGGCGGGCCGCCTGATTGCCCCGGATGACCCGCGCGACGGCGACCTGCGCGAGCGA